AAAATGACCTAACTTCTGATACCCTGAATAAAAGTATTTCAACGTCCGGTGTAAGGATATTCTTTTTAGTGATACTAAATATGATGGCCTCGGTTAGCAATAACTTAAAAAAGTGGATATAGAGGATCCACCTAGGGGAGTTGGAAAACCCTGACTCCAAACCATTGGTGCATATGGGCTTCAGAGTCCTGAGGGAACAATTGGCGTATGAACGAATTACTGGTCATCGACTACCATGGACTGCATCTCCTTATATTGCTCAATTGCTTTGTGGATAAGACATTTAGGTCGAAGGCGCCGGGTGTGGCCCCCTAAGAAAACCACCTGCTTTGGACTGGGCACCCGGACAGTATCCCAGCCCACACACAAATCAAGTGACTTGTGTGGCGCATATGTGTTTGGTAAACCTTTGTACCAATATTTATGTGGTTAAATAAATAAATAAAGCCAAAAGCATAAATTAGCCTTTAATTTTATCGATATGTGTAGATTAATTCACCTGGTAATATGGAGCCAAAGAACTAATTCGTTTGAAATTCTTTCTGCTAAGAAGCCCTAAATAATACTCTTCCATATGATTAGAAGGTAGTAGTGGAGTTGCTATGAAAACCCATTCAACAACAGAATCTCAAACACGGTCATTGAGAAGTGAAAGTAAATCGATAGAAAGCTGTATGAATTCGTCATCTTAGTACAGCTGTCACAATTAGGAATGTAGAAAGTCTCTAATCACGCAGACAAAAAAGACTTATTTGGCCAACAGCTGCTATACTTTAATTTACATCCTTGCAAATCACCCTATTTTTTCAACTCTAATCTAAATATTTCCTAGTCGTGCATAATTTACCAGCCAATCTCTCCGGTATATCATTGATAAACCTTCATTAAATACATCAGTTTTGGGTTTTTTTCTACATTTAATAAATTTTTCTATCCAACGAAAAGAATGTTAAGGTCTAAGAAATAAACGAGCTTGAGAAGATAACAGTGAAAAAGTCATGATAAGTCTTGGTAATTGAACGCTATACTCGGATCCTAAGCTAGTCTCGTAACCTCCAAGCTAGAACTACACAGCGACTTGAACACGAGAGAAAAGGCACAAAATATGCCAGAAGCACTTCACTCCAAAGGTTCATTTATGTACAGAAAATATAGGGTTTTTACAGTATTTTAGAAGTCCTTGGGTTTTCCTGAAAATTCTGGAATGCTACTAAACATAATAGCAGATTAGCAATCAGAACCTTTACATGTGACTGTTCATTTTCGTGATGTTTCTGGCAAAACTTCTAGTCAAACGCTGATTGGATAAAATGCTTATTAATGTTTCCTGAGCTTGTCATATCTATTGCGAGAAATTTTCAGGATCGCTTCAGCAAATCACCTCATTGAATTACTCATTTCCGAAATGGTTTATTTCCTGAATAATCTCATGACTTGAAAGTGATTCTTAGTGATGATATTATTAGCTTAATACATTTGTCACTCTATTTTATGACCCCTACTGATGGAGAGTCTTGAACGAGATAGAAACAGAGGTCCAATATATTCAATGTTACACACCTCAGATCTGAATTTTTCCATAAGGAACACGAAACTACTTACGAGTACTATGAGTGTTTGTAAAAAATATTACACCTGACGACGCAACATTGGTGATTCCCAGGGACAATATCACCAGTATACCGTATTGTATTGACTTAAATGTACACATTTTTGTTAGCTGAATCTAAAACTTAGGATATCACACACAGACAATACCATAGTGCATCAGTAATTAACTGTCAGTGAATAAAATTACTAATAATTTTCTTTACAAAGAAGTGTTCAAACTAACTGACTTTGGTCTAATGATATGCTCAATACGACATTTATCGTGTATCAACATAAGGATCGATCTCCAGGTGCAAATTAGAAAACTTTTCTCTAGGAACTTTTTTTGTCAATTTTCAGTTTTTGAAACAATTTTATTACAAAAAGAAAAGAACCACTACCCTTAAAACTTCAAAATGCTGGTATCTAAGTTACTTTTATTCAACTACTAAAATTTAATTAGTTACAAATTCGTGCAGTCAGTTTTAAAATACACTGTTTTTAATGAAGACTAGCTATAAAACTTGGATATTCTAATCGAAGCATAGTTTTTATCTACAAAAAATGACTAAACGTCAGTTGCTCTAACCACATAGATACTAAATACGAAACGCAATCAATTTGAACGTTGATACACCGTTGAATAAAGAGAGTGAAATATAATCCCACTGAAATTCATGTTTGCAAGTAGTTTGTTTTGCAAATCCGTACACAGAAGTGACAAGAAAGTTCATTTTAGATTAAAAAGGTAAGATTATGTATAAATATAATGCTCAAGCTATACAAAATCACACTTAATTAATTGGCAGTGTCCGTAGATATGAAATGTGTTTTGTACCTTTTAGTTCCAAAGTACTTCTACAAGACTGGCAGGACTCTGTGCTTGTGCTAGCTCTTGGCAGATCATAGTCGAAAGATTTATGTATTTGGATAGTTGTTCAAGTACTGGTGATGACTTGAGTGATGAGATCGATCCACGTATAGTGAAAGCCAGAGCGGCTTATACCAATCTGACTGTAAAGAGTTGAATCTACGCGCTGGTGAGGGCTCCATGTTTGTGAAATCTGACCTTTCTGAGTTGAGGATGTTAAGCTGCTCCCTGTATTTTATCATCGTTGTCTCCGAAGTATTGGTGACATTCGGTAGCAACACACTGTCGGTAACGCGTAAGTTCGGTAGCATGCATTCGGGAGTAGCGACGATGAACCTGTTGGTGTAACCGTCTTGGAACACTGATTACAGTGGCTTAGACATAGACTAGGAATGTCATTTCGGCGGATCACACATCTTGCATTATTTGCCGACGCTGCAACTGGTTAGAAAAAGCAGAAAGGTGGTCAGTGTACGACATGCTGTCGTGGTATGGAAGTAGTACAGGACTGCCATAGGTTGGTCCTGGTTAGGATCCTAAAACAGTGCAATACAGTGGCTTGGGACGTCATCAGATATGGCTCAAAACAGAAGCCAGTGGCAGTTTTGCTGTAACGTTTTTGGTATGTAAGTGGGAGGAACTTCTTTAGCCGAAAGAATCCTCACTTGGTGTATTATTCTAAACTGAACTGTTAGTCCTAAATTTTTTAAACTCTCATAAATTAATTTCTATTCATTTTAGTTCTTTTTCCTATTATACTCGCCTTTCTTTTTCTATCTCTTTACAAGCTCATTTTTATTACGGTCCATACATATTTTGGTGCCCTTTTGTAAGAATGTTTTTTAGTTTAGATAAATCAATAAAATTGTCATTATTATTATCACAACAACTAAGACAACAGTACCTATCTTTTAATAATTTGCTTTCATGTACGATTTTAACTTATTGATTAGAACTCATCACCTTAAAACATAATTTTTTATCCTTCTCTTAACATTACTGATGTTATACTTTTGGCTAGTAATTCTTAGTATTTAAGACTCAATCAAAGTGATATTTGCCACTTTTAATTGATGATAAGGATTAATCTCACCTAAGTACTTCTTCTATTGTAAAAATAATAATTTTGGATTTATAACTATACAGCTTGATGAAGAATTTATTGAAAACGATTGTTCGCTCCAATACCTTATATTCTACAATACGAAAAAATATAAAATAGGGTTGAATATGACAAAATGGTTATGAAGCGCCCATTCTTTTGTATTTAAAATCCTATTGTATATAAGCCACAAATAGCGCTAATGTTGTGGATGTAACAGCATAGATGTACACAACTTAAAATTTGTTACAAAAGTCTATTTACAAGGTACATACCAAGATAATGTCTGTTATAAAATAGTTGAATATTTGATCTTCAACCAAGTACCAGAAGTTTATTTCAAATCAACTCCTATCTGGTCACTTAAAGTATTGGTTTAAACCTAGATCTATGTCTAATTTTCGAAAAGTTACTAAACAGTATTTAACGGTACAGTTTTCTTTAAGATAGATAAATTAACAGTGACGTTTTCATTATATTTCTAAACAATATCAATACAAGGTCCTGGAAATTTCGCAAGTAATAAGTAGCTATTAACCCTAGAGTATTATTAATAAGGTTAATTAAAATTTATCTTCCATCAGACATTAAGGTTAAAATGCATTTAGCTAATTCCATTCATCAGTAAACCTTCAACTATACTCTATCTAAGTGACCTAAGTTGCCCCCAAATGCCCTGGTATGGCCGAGAGTGGGCAGAGTCCGCTCTCCCTCTCGAAATGCTCTCACATGGCCACGCGAATATATAGCCTCTGCCAGGGAAGTCCTACTCACTGCCTTCTCGAGGCGGGACTGTTGTTTACGAAATTGAGAGGACGAAAAGCGGATGTCCAGCGCTTTAACTGGGTTGGTGGACATGGAAAGTTCACCTAGGGGAGTTGGAAAACCCTGACTCCAAACCATTGGTGCATATGGGCTTCAGGGTCCTGAGGGAACAATTGGCGTATGAACGAATTACTGGTCATCGACTACCATGGACTGCATCTCCTTATATTGCTCAATTGCTTTGTGGATAAGACGTTTAGGTCGAAGGCGCCGGGTGTGGCCCCCTAAGAAAACCACCTGCTTTGGTCTGGGCACCCGGACGGTATCCCAGCCCACACACAAATCAAGTGACTTGTGTGGCGCATATGTGTTTGGTAAACCTTTGTACCAATATTTATGTGTTTAAATAAATAAATAAATAAATAACACCTAAGTAACTAAGAATATCATATTCAGGTCAATCAGTCAAAATTGTGTAATATATAAAATAACGAGTACACAAGGGTGATGCAAAGAATCTTTGTATCAAATAAACTGTCTTCTAGACAAATGAGAATACAATTATAGCTATGACATAAAAAAAATGCAGAATTGAGATAACGATCATATTCCTTTTTCCGTTAACAAGATAAAATACCAACAGAAAAGAAATTACATAAATATTGATTTCCTTTAATTCGTTTTCATTTGGTTATCAAGTTCGTGTTTGTAATTATCCCAACCTTCACAACATGGCTGTTTAATATGTCGAAATTTTTGACAGCATTCAATAAGTGAAGTTATTTCTCTTGTACATCGAGTAACATCGAAATCATTCCCTAGTCAAATTGTAAGAACAATACATACAATAAGTTTAGGGATAGAAAAGAATACTTACTAATTAAACAACTTTGAATTTTACATGCTAAAGGTTTACATGGTAGATCCATGCTGCATGTCGAATCACTAAAAAAAAAGAGAAATTCGTCTGTCATTATTACATCACATAAATTTAGTGACAGTATAACTGCTAACTTTTTAAAGGTGCGGTTAGAGGAATGAGGGCGGTTATCACTTCCCGGTTGCCCACACTGTGAAAGGGTTCTTCTAGAGGAACCTGAAAAAGAAATTGGGTTAGAGTTGGTCTTAGTGACCTGAAAGCGTGACTGCAGTGCCCAAGGGACAACTTCTTGAAGTCCGTCATATACGACCTTTTTGTGAGTAGTTTTCGTGTTAGCTCCGTAGTTTTTGAGACCCTACCGCCAGAGACGGAAATCCGTGGGATAACTCCACCCTTCCTTTATGGGAAGACAGCATCGCTGTTATGTTGGTTGTCTGAAGGGAACACCTTACTGCTGTCACACCTTTGTACAGTCAGCAGTACAACTTCGCCCTCAGACCTTGGGTTTGCTGTTTTTAGTATTACCACTTTTCAACCGACTTGCCTGGAACGATTGTTCCACTCAGTATAGCCCGATCGGTTCATAATGATAGGCAAGCCCAACCACCACGTCATCATAGCAGCAATGGTCAGGGTGTGGTAAATTGGACCGACGCATATATGTGCTTGGTCCTACTTTGTAGCTAACTAACTTTCTAAAAATGATTAAATAATTTATCTTTGAGTAAATTACATTAATAAATCAAACAAGTGGAAAATATTTTGTTATTTTGGTATGAAAATTAATTGAGAAAGGTTTTTAATGAAACGCATGGAGAAAAACTAGAAATTTTGTGAAAGATTAAAATCAAATCCTAGCAATGAAAATGATAAGTACTACGAGAGTACTATTGATGATCAAGAGGAAATTATGTAGGCTTCAAGAAATGGTGAGGAGTAAAAACTTTACTTAATAGTAAGCTTGTTAAAGCAATATTTTGTAGCGTATAGACATACCATTTGAGGAAAAATGGAAGCACTTTGTGGATATTTCAGATGGTTTACGTAGTTGAAAACAGAATGGAAGTCTCTGATTAGCGAGCTTACATATCTAGTAGCAATGGATAACCGATGGCTCCAGACAGGGACCTTAGTTTATGAAATAACAGTTGAGTCCTTAGGAATATATCGAAGTTCCTTTTGAATGACTTCTGAGAATTCGCCTAAAGGACTTCAGCTAGTAGCAAGGTCAAAAATGCGACTACTTGTAAGGAGTAAATGTTACTCTAGCAGTTCCGTTTATTGTATTGTACCTTTAATTTACAGCTATTCCTCCCAGGGTTGAGTATTTCAGCGGATTCCAGGAATGTTTAAAAGTCATTAAAAGGGTCGTCTCTAAATCGTCTACATGCTATATAATCGTTCAGGATAGTAATAGAATAAAAAAGTAAATAACGAAAACTAAGTTAATGCAGCTGTTTGTAGCTCATTTGCAGTATTTAGTAATAACAACAGGAACTGTTGTAATTAGCCCAGATAACGTTTTTGAGAGGCTATACAATAATGAAAGCGAGGTCTCATCATGAATTTGAATAAAGTGGCCCTTAATACTAGCCCTACCATTTTGATATGGTACTCATGTTTACCTATGATCCAATCGGGTTATACTTGTTTGGACACTTATTTCTCTAGGTCCCATAGCATTAGACAGGTCGACTGAAGAATAGCAAGACTAAAAGCAACAACTTGACGCCCTAGGGCGAAACCGTACTGTCGAATGTATTGTGTTATGGCAGTAAGGTGTTTTCTTTAAACAACGAGCATCTGCAGTGGAACTGGCCTCTCATAACAGAAGGAAAGGTTCAGAAAGGGGAGAGTCGAAACATATTACACCTTACCTAAAATCTCAGAGTTAAGGCCTTCTAAGTACGGGGCAAAACCCAATAAATTACAAGTAGACTTTTTGTGACCAGCCTCGAGCAGTTGTCCCTGTAGATCTGCTATCACGCCCTTAGTAATCACGGTCAAAACTACTCCAGTTTTTTTTTCAAGTGCCGGATGAATAGGCAACCTTCCTCGGTGTAGGCAACAGGGAGGCGACATCGTTTTTCCAACTTCCGAAATACATTAGTCATTGGTCTAACCAATATAAAAGTTTATATACACATAAATACACTACTTTGGTGGGAATTTAAAAATAAGTTAGCTAACGACAGGACTGAGAATAAATCAAGAATACTGACAGATTTAATGAATCTTCTAAAACCTGGGTTTTTAGCTTTGTTGATGGAGGAGTCTAGCAGAACTGAAATATAACACAATAAAAGTGGTTTGTCGCGTCTATGTACGTATGTTCATATATTTAGTCCACAGATTTATTTTAGAATTACTAATTACTTTATATTATCATTTTGCATCTGTCTTCACAAAAACTCACTGACGTCACTGAAAGTTCCTCATTCCATATAAATCGTTTCTCGTGAAATTTATTAACTCGTGCACATTCTAGAAGTTTCGCTCGACTTAAATACTACTTTTTAGCAGTCCTTTGGCCACCGAATCTATAAACCTTTAGCAAGGTGACTCCAGATATTTTTTGGAGCACTAGCTCGCTTAGTAACCTTTTATCGACCCGATGTCATGTTCAAAATGAGTTCTGGGTTCTGAGCTTCACTCTCCTTGACTCTATGGAAGACAACTGACCTGTCACTATGGTCAGTTTCTAATTTTTTAAATACTGTTTGGGGGTTGGCTTTTCTTTAGCAGCGTTAGGTCGTTTCTCATTTTTGATCTGTACACATTCATCAACTTTTATTGGAGTAGTGCTACACACAGTGTGAGGTGCTGGATGAGTGTCGATGACTTGGGTAGTCATGTTGTTGTTTTTTCCTGCTAGAAACAGACCTGGCCTTGTGATTAGGTTGAGAGTGATGTTACATCAACCTTAAAATGTGATCGACCTTCAGAGGTCTTACAATATCCAATGTATTTTTTACAAATGGTTCGAATGGTTATGGACGGAATAGAAGCTTTCACCTAACGGGCTTCCATGTCTGGTAGCAGTGGATCACTAATACATACAGGCAGAAACCTAGGTATATTAACGATAATAGAGGGAAAAAAGAAATTGGTAAATCAAAATAATGTTATCCATAGTCCTTAAAAAGTAAGTCAGGTTTCCTCTTAAAAGACTCCTGAGAAGTCGCTTGGACTAGCTCAGTCAGCAGCAAATTTCAGCATTTAACAACTCTTACGGAGTAGAAGTTGTGTCTACAGTCTGTGCTGCTATGTAGGGTCTCCAGTTTCTGGATGTTACCCCTTAGGTTAGTGTTGTGACTAAGCTTAAGGGGATGACCAGAAGTGTTAAGGATGCTTTAAGCCATAAGTAGGTCACCTCTAGGACGTCTGTACTCTAATGGGTAAAGGTTAAGTGATTGGAGGTGCTCTTCGTAAGGTTTAAATTTGAGTCCCCGAACTGATTTCGTGGCTCGACGTTGTATACGTTCCAGAGTGTCCTTATGCTTTTGGAGGGAGGGAGGAAATACTAGGTTTTCGTACTCTAAATGGGGACGAATAAAACTGTTGAAGATTATGTGAAAGGTTCTACCGTCAAACTGGCCAAAAATGCGCTTCAATGTTACCAGTGCAAGGTGTGCTCGGAAAGCATTTTTGTCACAGTTCGCATACGAATTCAAGTCGTAGGGTACCGACACTCATCAATATTTTCGACTTGAGAAACTTATATAGAAGATTTTCCTAAGTTGTAACTACAGTCTGCAACATGTCGCAGGTGGACTACCTTGCACTTTGAAGTGTTGAAGGTAAGTCCGTTATCGTCTGCCCAACTTTGAAGTCGAGTCAGATCCTCCTGAAGTGCTAGTATATCCTCAAGGTTACATATCTCTCTCCAAAGTTTCACATCATCAGCAAAAAGCAATAAGTTAGATGAAACTTGTTGTGGAAAATCGTTAATGTATATCAAGGAGAGAAGAGGTCCTAGTATTGAGCCATGGGGGACCCCAATAGGACATTCCATAGCCTCAGAGAGAGTGAAGTTAACCCTGACCTTAAGATGACGGTTTTCTAGATACGAAGTGAGCCAGTCAATCAGAGTGCACCATATCCGGACCGGGAGAAGTGTCTTTTCTTATGTGCCGCAGTTTACGGAGCGCCAGGTCAGCGCACAGGTCCACTCCGGGAAGTCCTGTGCAGGTGAAGCTTTCGTCAGTGAAGTTGATGTGGGTAGGCTGGAATGTCTGAGAGTATTGTTCAGCTCATGGGTTTTCAAAATGCAGAATTTCGGAGAACAATCATCTTCAATCCACTTTGGATGGTAAGCGAGGTTACTCACAGAATTAAAGGTGTGCTCGCAGACTACAAAATAAAATGGCAGTGTTCAAGACAACGGTGGATATAGAAAACCGGGATGTCATCGCTTTCTCAGAAACATGGTTAAGTCAGAAATGTTTGATAATGACATTCAGTTGACTGTTTTTTTATCCAGTAGGGCTGATAGACTAAACCATAGGGGACGGGAGGTTATACTATACAGGAAAAGTACCTTAACCATACGAGATGTTGAGACAGTGGCAGCCATAGCCGAATCATCCGGGAGTCGGGTCATTGAATATCGAACAAATCATCGATCCCTGCTAAAGTCAAGATCAAAAAACGCGCTTCAGTTAGCCATACGCCATGGACTGGCTCATGCGGTGGTGGTCTCATTAGAATCTCTGTACTCATTCTTACTAATATATTCACGTAATCACGCTCTTTGTGTTATACAGTCTTCAAAGCAGACATAGTACTTTATTAATTCGAACAGGGTAATCCGCGTTAGATGCTGACCGTGAGGTGTGACTTCGAAGTTAGCTTGTTCGTTACACCGTTGCCGTCTAACTCGAGAAGGCCTCCAATCATTCGACAAAGATAATTAACGTTGATGGTCTACACAGGAACATGCGAACCGGTGCACTGCAGGCTGAAATGTAAACGGTAAATAATGAATTAGTTGTAGTATACCTCAGTCCAGAATGTGCAGTAGATGACTTCCTCTTATGAAAACTTAATTCCTGGTGAAATACGAGTCAAAGCCCCATAGTAGTGTAGCGGTAAATAAATCCAAAAAATAAGTAGTTCTGTAAGTCTACGACACTGGATGCTGACTTCATGATTTTATAAGTCATTGCTATATTCTAATTTTTATGTATTTTGGTATTTTTTTCGAGTTTTTGGATATATTTCCTCGTTCATTCTCGTACTTGATATTTCACCGTGACAGAACAGACACCCAAGTTACATGAGTTTATAGCTGTAAATAAATCCCCAAAATCAATAGCTCTGTAAGTGTTCAACATTGGATGCTGATGCGATCGGGCATGTATCCGTATCAGATCACGTTACAGAACGGCGTGCGAAACATCTATTACGATCATTAGCCAGATTAGGTCAGTAATTTCTCGGTATATTGATAACCCATCAAATTTATCTTCCAACCTCCTCGCTTCTGACTTATTATTTTAACTGGGTGGAAGGTGTTTCTGGTAAGGAGTTGTCAAACCAGAATACTGATGGTATCTTCAGTGGCACACCAAACGACAAACTGTGAGTCTGTTCCTTTTTGGAACCTAATAATTCATTATTTTGCGTTATTTGACTTTTACATATTGTGACATTTTTCTTCGAGTTTTCGGATATGTTTCAATTATTTATCTTTCGTTCATTATAATACTTGATTTTTCACTATGACGGAGCAGACACCCAAAGTATTTAAGTATAAAACTATCCACCCACCCTCGATCAAAATATAACGAACATCATAAGCTTATTCATCTTACTACACCGTTTTTTGCATCCAAAGGAATATCATTCCTCTCATGTGATTGCTGGTTGAATGATCAGTGGTCACATTATTGAAAAGCACGTTTTTGATCTTTGACCTTGATAGTTACCAATAGCCTTCTGGGAGTGTTATTGCCTGACTTGTATGTCTGCTCTTTTAGAGGATATTTTCGACGTAAAAGATGTTGATAAGGACGGAAAAAAGTTTGACAAAGTGTCAAGATTGTTTTGTGAAAGTGAATCATTCAAAATGGGATTGATTTTGGATATTCATGCCTTAATATATGGTCTTTCAAAGGGTGACAAGTTTCGAATGGTGCTTACCAAAACATTGTTGAATGAACTTGGGACGGATGCTGACGATGATGATGAAGACGATGCAGCAGATGAGACTGATGAGAAGCTAGCGAACAGCAAGATGGCGGAGTTCGATTATGTTTGTTACGGGAAGATTTATCGGATAGAAACCCAAGATAGTGGAGTTGATGCAAGTAGATTGTCATGTTATGTATCCTTTGGTGGATTACTCATGCAACTGACAGGAGATGCCAGTAATTTGCAAGGTTTCCGAGTCGGGAAACACTTGTATTTAATGATAAAAAAGTTGGCATTTTGAATTCATTGTTATCTTTAATTGTACATATATCATCAAGTTTCTCATCCGTAAAAAAAAACAAAGTCAGAAACCTAATATTTTTATTGCAAAAATTTCCCTGCTGTATTTTCCAACTGTACTTAAATTTGAGTTATTTGTTAGCTGGTATGCGTTTTTTTACCTTGAGGTCTAATTAGCCCCTAGGTCTGGGCAAAAAGCGGTATTGTCTCTACTCCTTTCTTGGGTAGCCAGATTCGTAACCTTCATCCCTTATTAAGTTTGTCTTAGTCTACTGCTAATTTGTTGCTGGGGTGGTGTGGTGGATAGTTTGCGTATAAACATGTGAGATAAAGAACAATTAAAGACGAGTTGTCTACTTAGCGTTGATATGGGACAGGTTTGTATTAATATTTGGGACCAACAAGACTTCGCAGAATTATATGTATATTAATCCAAGCCAACCTGACAGTCGAGACTAAAATGAAACATCTTGACTAGTTTAAGTATTTAGTAGCTTATTATATTCAAGCACATAATTAGACCTCAATCTCCACTAAAACTACTACGTATCCTCTCGATTCAAAATGGCCATGTTTATTTGTTCATGCAGTGATAAAGCGAACTGAGATAAACATGGGTCTTGAGCCAGGTCTTGGAAGCTGTTGAAGCGTAGGAAACACTTCTGGGACTTATTCTTGTCAACAGGTCAGGCATCATTTAAGTGCGAATATTAAAAAAAATCCGGAATATATGTAAAAAGACCATAGCTAAATCCCGCACGGCTTACGAAAGACAGTTGTCATACGATAGCCGTACCTGCCTGAAGCGACTGTTTTCGTACGTTAAAAGGCGGACGAAACGTAGTGATGCTGTCCCCTCATTACTGTTAAGCGAAAATTCAGCTTTATTGGCTGAATCTGATCTAGCGAAAACGGAGACATTTGCTAACTATTTCAGTGAAGTCTACTCTACGTGTAGTGTTACAACTACTTGTCCCGTTGACAATGAGATACCAGCCATAGGACCTTTACACGTGACAGAGGATATTGTTCTTCCTTTGATAACTAACCTAAAACCTTGTAAGATACCGGGCCCCGATGGGTTACACCCACGTTTGCTGTCGTCGCTTGCGGACATTATCTCAAGACCGCTCACGATGCTCTTCAACATGTCCCTTTCACAGGCCCAACTACCTAGAGACTGGAAAGACGCCATAGTTAGTCCTATATTTAAGGATGGTCAGAGACGGATCTTATCTAACTACCGGCCTGTTAGCCTGACCAGTATAGTAGTTAAGTTACTTGAAAATTAATTCGGGCTAAGCTACTGAGTCACATAGATTCGTACAAACTGTTAACTCCCGAGCAACATGGGTTTCGTAACAAGCATTCATGCTTGACTAACTTACTCATTGCGAGAGAAGATTGGACAGCTGCCCTAGACAACAGCCTGTCTGTCGACGTGATATTCATAGATTTTAGCAAAGCGTTTGATGAGGTTTCACACTTAGGTCTTATGCAAAAGCTCTCGAGCTTTGGTATAACAGGTGCTATACAGGAATGGATAGGAAGCTTCTTATGTGACCGCAGACAGAGAGTGAGGGTCAATGGAACTCTATCCGAATGGAAACCGGTCAAAAGTGGTGTACCCCAAGGCACTATCTTGGGCCCTTTACTTTTCCTTCTGTATATTAATGAACTACCTTTATTACTTAAGTCGTCGACGTTATTGTTTGCGGATGATGTTAAAATCTGGAGAACAATAAGAAATGAGACTGATCGTTGTTATCTGCAAGCAGATTTAGACGAATTAGTTAGGTGGGCTCATGATTGGGGCCTGGAAGTTAATTCCAGGAAGAGCGTGTTCATGCACATCGGGCACGATATTAGTTACCATTAATGGCACATCTCTGCTACGCGTTCATGAGCACAAAGACTTAGGAGTATTTATAAGTCACGACTTAAAAACTACTACGCACTGCAATGCGGTTGCTTCCAAAGGCTATCGCGCGCTATGGTCGCTTCGCAGAGCATTTAAATGCTTCGACGAGGATATGTTTCGAATTTTATATCCCACCCATGTAAGGCCACACTTAGAATACTGTATCCAAGCAGCTAGCCCTTGTCTGATAAAGGATACTAAATCGCTTGAGCGTGTAGTGACAAAATTAGTAAAGGGTCTTTCTAAACTCCCTTACGATGAGCGTTTAAACTTTTTCCCCTTATCTTATTGTAGGACGCGAGGTGGCATTTCGTATCTTTAATTATGATCTGGGTGTTAATATGTCTTATCTTTTTGCTCCCTCCAGCACTAATAATCTCCGGGGTCATAGCAAGAAGGTTCTGAAACCGCGATCTAATAAACTAAAGGTGGGGTCCCGTTTTTCTCGAGTGGTCAATGACTAGAACGCTTTACCAGAACAAGTGGTATCAGCACCATCAGTGAACATTTTCAAAAAGAAGCTGGACCTTCACTGGAAGGAAATCTGTCAGGATTAACACAGGTTCATCAACCTACTATCCTTATTACTGAAGACTGAACAATAATGTTTGCAACGTATAGAACAAAACGTCATGTTGTACCACTTATTGTTTCCCAGTCATTTTTCATTCCAAACATATCACCGTTAGTCAATAAGCTTGGTTTCCGCTAAAATCAATGATAGAACAGAGACTTTGTCAAGTGGTCAGTCAGTCACAACGTAGAACCTCGCTCGTACGTACATCAGTTCGTGTTGCCATACCACATTAGCACAGAGATGCAGTTGTTGATTCAAATCCCATAGTAATAGAGGTAGTAAGAGTATAAGCACTGGTCCGAATTACTAGGGCTTGAAGTTGTTATCCAAGGAGTTTAATCCGGTGAAATGAATTTGGAAAAAGAAATAAGATAGGGACATGCAGAACTCAGATTAGAATTTCGGAGAACACAAAGAGCGGGTGCAGCTTTGCCATTGCAAACAATTTTGAGCCATGTTATACAAGGTCTCTAACCATCGGTTGCTATCATCTCGCGGATCCCAACCAGGTATTCTACTCCTACCAACGTGACTCAGTCCAATTGTCAGTGACTTAATGGGTTTATGCCACGTTTTGGTCTGGCCGCCACTAGCTTTCTTCCAACTTACTCTTACGCCATAAAACACCACATCGGGGCAGTCAAAGGTTGGGTATAAGTAACACGTGTCCTAGTCATCTCAATTGATGAAGTTTCACTAATTCGTCAATCGATTCGCCATCCTTACCTAGTAACCGTTCCCTAACAACTGTATTACTTACTCGGTGGCTTCAGGATATACGAGCAATGCTTCGAAGACACCTATGATCGAACACTAGTAGCCTACGAATATCCTATACTCTTACCGGCCATGTTTCACTGCCATAAAATAGGACAGGACAAAGTGCTGAGTCGTGAACGCTACATGGTTTAATTGAAGTCTATGTTGGTGTTTTGGACAACACCAGCGCAATCCCCCCAAGATTACTACCCTTTAACGTCCATGGGGCTTGACACTGCTTTTATCTCAGTTAATATCCGAAGGGCTAAATCACAAATGAAGCCTGACTTTCAGGTCGTGTCACTACTTTAACCTTGTTTAGTAGCGGTGACTTAAGTTAGGAGCTTCTTTTCTGGTCATCTTCCCAGCAAGATTACTACAGGTTGGTGCCGAACGTTTAGCTTAAGGTATAATGAAGACCGCGACCCCGGATTGAAGTGCAAAATATAGCGTCCTTTATCAGCGTGTACTAAAAGCTTGTTGGTGGAACATGTAGTTCTGCATTAACGTCCTTTACAGTTCTTGTGGATGTGAGCTCTATTCAAACGAAATGTTAATTGTCTGAACCCTGTCCACACATTTTGATGATTCTCAATAGGCGCAAAACCCTAGTACTGGAGACTGCATATTACCGAGTATTTAATTGTGGTTTCGTATTACTTGATAGTGACAGGGAAATGGGTCGATAAAATCTAGTTATTACCCCACTAGGTGGCATGATACATTAGCCGGTTACTAATCACGGTTCTTACTATTAGATGAAAAGGTTAGTTGACAAGATTAGATCGATATAGAATAAGTTGCTTATATGCATCTACTAGGTTCATCCGGAGACTTTCTACAACTTGAAAAAGCCAACGACGCCCCTTGCCTCAAGATTCCGTGACAATTTAAGTCTTGTGTCATGAGAAACTTGTAAGAGCGCCACCTACATGATCGAAAGAAAACTGATGAAACCCATCAAATACAAAAGTGTATATTCGTCTTTGAACTACAATGCGTGTGACAGTTCGTAATGCTACCCAGCCGTCCAGACTAGAGTGGAAGTCGAACCTGTTGTCTAGTGGTTAAAAGTCCCACGTCTTGGCCACTAAGCCACCTCTGTAATAAGAGGATGCAGTGTTGTACTGTAAAGACAGAAAGTTACCAATTTTGTGGACTCGTGCATTGGAGATTAGCGAAATGTAAAACAGCTTTCAATTGCTCTTCTGTTTAGATGCTGGCAGTAGGGACATTTAAACAGCACTTCGTGGAGCATTTGGTGGACCGTCAGGCATTATGAAGGTGACGCTTGCAGTTGGTTCAATACCTCGAGCGAGATCCTCTTTGCGTGAGTGCAAGTATAGTTGATATGAGTACAAAAAAAGCAACAGTCCACTCATGTCACAGTGTTTTCATAGTTCTCAAGACCACTTTACTCATAGTTCACTTAATTTCAGACTTACGTGCTACCTAATCATCCGACACTGATATTCCCCCTTCAAATATGATCCAACTAATAAATAACTGTTAGAAAATGATTTGTTTTTACGTGATGATTCTGGTCAGTATTTGTGTAGAAAAATATGCTATCTCAACCATAGCAATGACTTAGATTAAGAATGAATTGTCGATCAAGAGAGTTATGCACTTTATGACCTTTACAGCCTTCAATTTACAAAGTAAAACGTACAGACAAATAGGAGCAGCGATGGAATCATCAACTCAACCGCTACAAACATAATTCTGAATAGTTGGAAATGCCATAACATCACGAACACACATTTAGTTACAAGTGTTCTACTAATGTGTGAAGGACCAAATGCTTAAAATAAAATTTGGATATGAAATGTTAAATATTGATGTTGACAGGAATTACACACTTGAACCGATATTTAGGTTTCAAGTTTCTCCATCCTAGATTGGATAAACTAGGTTCATTTATACATTAAGGGAGTGGGACCAAGAAGTAGACTAATTAAAAACACTTGAGTAATCGGTAAGGTAAATAAGAGGGGACATTAACTTGATAAAACTGCCCTGGGAAGAATCAGTAAGTAATTGTAACAATAGTAAGCGTGACAACAGATAATGTACTTAGGATAACCAATGGTGTGAAACTGCATCTAAAATTCAGAGAAACGATGCCACTGTTATAGAAGTAATTATTTTTGCTTACAAATGTTGATAAACAGGTCTCCCTAAGTAGCAGGCGGTCATTCATTGTCAACGTAGAGCCTGGCATAGATGTACGCTGTATGAATTTTCCGTACCCCATTAGTAAGACAAGATGAAATTATAAAGATGTTAACCAAAGTAGTAAAAGTATCAGTGACGATATAAGGAAACCAGGTATAGAGAATATAAATCTAGAGTAAAAGAATACATCCGCGGAATAAAAGGTATAAAACAATTCCAAAACTAAATATGTAGGAAAAGACGAAGAGTGAACATGTCCACACCTTGTCACTCAACGTTCCCAACTACTAGTTACAACAACTGCGCGGGTACCAACTGTGCTGCAATATAACTCAGTTCCACAGTCAGTTGTGGGTGGTTACTAACTGCTTAAGTCACTTGGACAAAATAGGGATAAACTGTATGGTGTAATGGTTACCACAATATAGTGGTCGTTCATATGTGTTTAGTTTGTACGTATTAATGTATCTCAGTTAGTCTTTGAGGTTCATATTGTACATCTTCACAATTGGAGATGCTCAAGGCAAACTACTTAGGCACTCAGGTAATCTTTGTCAAATTAATGTGGCAAAAGTAAAATATTTATGAAGTTGTAGCTGTACGTCAACAGAGTTTAGTAAACGAGGACTAAAAACACCATTTCTTTAGCAGTACGTAATCAAAACAAACCCTCTGAGAGATAAATAGGAATTAAAGGAATTTGGGAAAAAAATAAATGGAAAATATACATATCAGTGACAAGATGTTTCTTGAAATAAGTCAATGTCAAAATTTTTTTGGGAAAGCTGTGAAAACCAACTCTAACGGGTAGCTGTTGGTTATCAGAAATTCAAAAATAAACCAACGAGAAATTGACTTAATACATCTGAAAATCATTTTAATCTCATTATAAAGACTAAGTAAAATGAAATAAAAATATGGGCATGCTTTTTCAAAGGTAGTACGAAATATTCAACATCATTTGTTGTGACAGTATGAACAAAATTTTAAACTCGGGATACAGAATGTGATACTATATATCTGGTGCCCCTTTGTACCAATATTTATGTGTTTAAATAAATAAAGAACTATAAAGAAAGTATTCGTGAGAATTTTTTCTACGAGACAGCAACGATATGTTTACGAAGTAGATAAATAGCCCACAGTCTTTATACAAAAAACACCACTAAGGTTAATATTAGTAATCAAAGTGTACAGCCGTGGAAAGACTAATTGTAATGAAACGTACATAAAATATGATTTTCACCACGAAGTTTTCTTGTAGTTCTGTTCTGAGACATACGTTGTCGTTGCACAACCATCGGACTGGAAGTTGGTTACTTTTCACAAACCAAAAAAATAATTCCGATGCTCAGGCAAAGCATTCCAAGAAACCAATTCCCAGTCAGTTCTTCTTGAAAAATATACCTACCAAAAGCTGCCTGTACAGTCACGTGAAACAAGTTTATGATGACTTACTGAAAAAGCGAAATTCGACAGTGTGTTTGTTGCCAGTGCCGCAACACTTTTTTGACTAACGCTAAGTGCGGTGACAAGAGCCAGCCACATTACGACATTTAGGACAATAGCACCACCGTAGCTTGAAAAGACGAGAAAATTCTTGTTTGCATCTGGGAAACACGCCAGCAATTTGGTTAATATGTACCCCTCGCTCAATAACTTGCCATATAGACTGGTACACGCTGCACAAAATCCAGAAATAACTGCCAGCGGATATCCCATCTTATTAGAAATCATTTATCAGATTACACAGTTAATCACTAGAAGAAAATAGTCCACAAAAAAATACCTTAGGTAAGTATCATTACCAAGTTTTGATTTAATAATTTTGAATAAATTGAGCATTGGGTAGATTGTTACAAATAAATTAATATATTTTTAATATCCCAATCAGTAGAAAAAATAGATTTTCTGACGTTTCGTGACTCAGTGTAAGCCACTTCAGAGAATAAATAGCCAAATTAACATTAATCCAAGTTTAAATAGTACAACCGAACAACACGAATATTAGGTGATCAATCAAAAAACAGGTCTGAATAAATCAATACATTAGGTAAGTTTATTTGTGATTAGAAACCAACAATAATGATATAGATATTTAGAAGTTCAGACTGGTAAAAGTTTTACACATGCGAAAGATCTTACCAATAACTCTTGTTCTTAGAGAGTCGCAGATATCGTTTTGTTTAGAAGGATTTGAGAACATTACTCTGGATGGCTGTAAACAGATAGCAGTGGCTTCATAAGCTTAATGATACACTTTCCCAATACGGGTCATCAAATCGAGAGAATTTCTATTCAGTCGTAGACAAAGTGGACAGAAACTCACCAGTGGGAATTCAAGGTGGTTTTCTCTGCATTCCAGAAGTCCTTTTCATTCATACGGAGGTCTCTTTTCAGAAGAGTCGCAACCTCTTGCGTTTTCAGACCGTCATCTTTCACTTACTCTGTCGATTTTTTTTTACCACAAACCGACTAATCTTTGCCTACATGTTTTTTCTGACTCCCATTCGTCTTCAAAATTTAACTTATTTCATACAACCGACTTTCATAATTACTGATCAATACAAGTTTTTTATAGCATACTTAATTAACTTTTAAAAGCAACTATTGTCGGAAAAATAACTATGTAACTCATCAATTTGGTTGTTTGTTAGTTAAAGCAGTTAATCTGTTAGTATTGTATATTATAGACATGCATAAAAGTATCGACTAATCAATGTCAACAGTCAGTCGTACATAATATTGTAGTTTTGACAATTTGTGAATCAGTTGTGCACTTGTAGTTGGTGCATAAATCTTTATTTGTGTTCTTGTTTTTTCCTACGTTGAGTGGTATCAGTCCTTGCTTCGCTGCAATAAGTGGCAGTTTTACAACGGTCAAACAAATAACCACACCAGTAGCATACCACTATCTTTACTGTGTACAACAATTATATTTTTAGACTTTTAATAAGAATAAACTTTTTATGCTATTATTTTATTTTAACTTCTTTGTTAATATGTCCAATGAGCTATTTTTATTATTAACTGATCTATTGCTACCTAACTTTACCCAACAAAGAACATAAATATAATGGGCACCAACACGTACTCAGTGGTCATCTGTCAGACACAAAAACGAATCAGGAAATCCGTAACTCACGCTATTCGTTAATAGAAAGGAAATTCATTCGTTGAATACTATCAGCTACTATTTTAAGAGCTATTTTCAACTGCCTTCGTGTTTAGAATCTACCTACTGAGAGCCTAGATGATACACATCGAAGTACTATGAAGAGATAATTTAACAACATGGAGAAACACTTAAATAGAAGAAAAAGAGTCCCTAAAGGTTCGTGACTCAGTACTGCTTTAGTTTACGGAGGAGGGGTAGGAAAACCTATTTTAAATGCCAACATATTGGGAAATCGAAAACCACAGGAACTCCCAAAAATGATGCCGATCGGAAATTAAACATACCATGTGTTGATGAGTGCTCCCAGATGGAAATGGCTATTGCCTTAAGTAAATTGTTTAATTCGACAGAATCAAAACGGTTACTATTGATAAGTGTAGAGCGAAATTAAGAAAGATACGAGCCGAACAGGTAGGTCTTACTATAAAAAGCACGAAGCGTAATGCCTCATGTGTTTCGTATGCCTGCACTCGTAAATCCTCCAACTGACTTAGACCAAATATAGTTGTCATTAACAGTTTCAGTTTGGAAAGGACAGGAGGCTTGATGGCCTGTATTAGTCCTGGTGATGATGGTCTCTCAGTTGATCCAACTTTCTTTTGAAAGAGTCGACGGATGGAGCCTGAACCACGTGCTGAGGCAATGGATTCCACTCGTTGATGATTCGATGGGAAAGTCGATAGTCAGCTGACAAGTTATTTGTCGAGGGCTTGTGAACTCTTTTGAAGTGTTCTCGTGAATTTTCTGTTTTGGAAGACAAGAAAAATGAGGATTGTGTAGTTGTTATATCTACTTTTTGTTACCAAGTGAGTTAGACAACCCAGTTGCTAAAAATGACATTCAGGAGGTAGACTACCAGTAGGACGATCCATAACCCCTTACATTCAAAGGTGAAAACGGCAATCCATCTAGTTAGATAAATCCTACACAATACCCTTTGCTAAGAGGACGTTGTCTTCAGCTTGACCAGATACGGAAACCAAATTACGACTGACTAGAATTCTGGAAGACTCGCGGAGCAAAATTAAATCTGTTCTATGAGCAGAGTTATATGTGCGTTAGGTTATCTTCATGTGTTTAAAAAAGAAACTTAACCTCGACAGTAATCTATAATGAGTGAGAGCTGAATTTTTTGTAAAGGAAAAAGTGGCTGAGAAACTCTACTTTAAATCCTGGTGGACTCCCTAATTTTTTTAGGAAACTAGCCTGAAGTTGTTATTTACTCGTTACGAGACGTAATCAAAAGTCCAGTTAGCAATAAGATAGAAGTAAACCACCATAACCGAAAGTCAAGACTAAATATTCTCTCTTCGACAGGTCCCGCAGCACAAACATACTTATCGACTCCCGACTATAGTCCTATTCCTTGACCCTGAGGTGGCGGTTGACTCCATTGGTCGTGAAGTTCTATGGAAGTGTCTGTCACTGAAAGGCATACCAAAGAAGTACATTAACCTTGTTCAGCCTTTTTACTCGGACACAACTAGTTGAGTCAGAGCTTATGGCAAACTTTAATCGGAATCGGTTACCCCCAGTGGTGTTAGTCAAAGTTGTGAGCTTTCTCCATTTTTATCTTTGTCATGGACACACACAATTCCGTCGTCTGACTTTTCAGGGCTTTATCTTTTACCAAGAAATTCACTTGTTGACTCAGAATACGTAGATGATATGATTCTGTTTGGTGAAGACGATGACAAAATGGAAAGCCCTCTGACCACCTTAGGCAACGATCCAAGCATGTTTTGAATGCGGTTCTCTACTTTCAAATGCAAAATGTTACCTCAAGATTGGCTTGCGTCATCCTCTGGATTAGTGATAGGAAGTGGAGTGGTTGAGCATATCGGTCGCCCCACTTACCTTGGGAATCTCATCAGTACTGATGGTCTGGTGTCTGACAAAGTTTCAGCACGGATTTAGAGTGCTCGATTGGCTTTTGCCAACTTGCGTCACTTGTAGTGTGGGTGAGATATCCATCTGCCAACTAAAAAGTGAGTATACTGTGAAACCGTTTGTTTCATTCTACTTTATGGTTGTGAAAGCCCCCAAATGCGTGGTACGGCCGAGACTGAAGAGGGTCCTCCCTCTTTCGAGGTACTCTCACATGGCCACGAGTATACAGCATCTGCCAGGAAAGTCCTACTCACTTCCTCTCGCGGCAGGAGTGTTGTTTACGAAGGATCCACCTAGGGGAGCAAAAAACCCTGATTCTAAACCAACAGTGCACATGGGCTCTAGGATCCTGAGGGGACAAATGGTGTATGAACCCATTGTTTATTTAAACACATAAATATTGGCACAAGGAAGCACCAGATACATATGCGCCTCACAAATCTCATTTGATTTGTGTGAGGGTTGAGATACTACCCGGGTGCCCAAACCGAAGCAGATGGTTTTCTTAGGGGACCACACCCCGAGCCTTTGACATAAAGGTCTGATCCACAAGGTAGTGGAGCATCGTGAGGAGATGCAGTACCATGGTAGCCGGTGACTAACGATTGATTCATACGCCATTTGTTCCTTCAGGATACTGGAGCCCATGTGCACCATTGGTTTGGAATCAGGGTTTTTCAACTCTTCTAGCTGAACTTTCCATGTCCACCAACCCGGTTAGAGTGCCGAACATTTGCTTTTCGTCCTCTCAATTTCGTAAACAACAGTAATGCCACGAGAAGGAAGTGAGTTGGACTTCCCTGGCAGAGGCTATATACGCATGGCCATGCGAGAGCATTTCGAGAGGAGAGCGGACTCTGCCCACTCTCGGCCGTACCAGAGCATTTGGGGGCGAACCCATTGTTGGTGACTGGCTACCGTGGGACTGCATCTCTTAACGTTGATTCACTGTCTTGTCGATTCGACATTCAGGTCAAAAGCTCGAGGTGTGGCCCCCTAAGAAAACCACCTGCTTCGGTTTGGGCACCCGGGCGGTGTCATAGCCCTCACACAATTAGAATGAAATGACAATTTTTTTGTGTGGCGCATACATATTTGGTGTCTCCTTGTTGCAACATTTATGTGTTCAAATAAATAAATAAAATATGGTTGTGAAACGTGGCCCATAAAAATAAAGGGGATTTGTAAGTTACTAGTGTTTGATCGTTGGTGCCTTCAAGCAATTGCTCATGCATTTTGAGACCATCGAGATACCAGTGTCGAACCTAGGCTCAAAGTATTAGCTAGGCATGGCATGTCAATTAACGAGTTAGTGGATCCTTAACAACTGGAATGGTTAGAACATGCATTATGTATGCCATCGACCGACTACGTTGATAGGTGTTGATGGTAGAGAAGGTTAAACATCAGTTCATGAAGACAATGACCGTTGAACTGAGCATGCCGACACCGTCGACATTTAGCTAAGAGGTGATTTCTCTACAGAAGTAAATTACCCCAGATCACGATGCCGATTAAATTGGACAGCAGTTTGGTGAGGCCTAATTAGAGGACTTTTGGAAATCAGTGATGAAAACTTTCATATGAAACTTACGAAATCGCAAGACAAACTAGTTTTCCTAGAGCATTAACACATTGGCAGAGCATGGAAACCCTCTGAGAATCCCAC